GTGTTGCCACGAGTGCAGGACTTGAGAGAGAGGGAAAGCCAGGTGCAGGGGACACAGGGTTCCTGCACCCACGGATGGCCTCGCAACACTAATGGCTGATGTTCACATAGCAGTGGGATTGCCACGTGCAGGCGCTGCTCTGGGTTCAACTCATGTTAACTGAGTCCTCTCAGTACACCCTCGGGGAAGATGTGAATGTCACCCCCACTTTACAGGCTCAGGCACAGAAAGATGTCAGCTGTCCCAAGACCACCCAGGGGCAGTCGAGGTCCAAGGACCCTGTCAATCACAGCCTTGTGCACACGCGCACACACACACACACCTTGTCTCACTCTCCTGAGCAAGCAACACATCGAGGACATGCTCAGGCTCCCTGTCCCCTGTGGGGGTGGGGCAGGCAGCCCCAACATCGGGGTGTGTTTGCACGATGCTCCGATTCCAAGGAAGAGCCCAGGAGGTCAGAGTGACTGACATGGGACTCCCACCTCTTGAAGTCTTGGACAGGAAATGAAGGGCCTAGGTCTGTGGGGCTAGAAATCCTCAGGCACAGAAGACTCGTTGCTGCCCCTGTCTAAACAGCTGCTCAGTTACCCGTTTCTCTTGCACAAGGCCTGGTTTCCTTCATCACTCATCTTACACTTTGCCAGTAGCCCCACAGACCTGAGTCCATAGGACCTTCCAGCTCAGCTCTGGGCCCTGGGTGACAATGGGGTCTGTCTCTCCCCCTGGTGCAGCCTCTGGGCCAGGATGTGGGGTTGGGGTGGGGATGGGCAGTGTGGAGGGCTGCCACATGGCCCGTGGCCCCCTGAGCAGGAATGGAGAATTCTCTGGAAAGTGCAAGCATGCACCCAGGCTCAAGGGGATACAGGACCAGAGCCTTGCTCAGGCCCCTCACTGCCTCCCCCACCCCCAGGCAGGGTCAGTGTGGTCGGGACATTTCTGGGGGTGTTGGCTGCACCTGTTTGGCCTAGGTGAGGTCTGGCCTGTCCCCACTCCACAGCGTTTGAATCAGGAGTCTCTCAGGGCAGCACCTCCAGCCAGGACTTGAGGAGAACGAACGACATCCAGGCTTTGCAGCACCACGTCCTAGCCTTGCCCTGGATGATTCCTGAGGTCCTGGCCCCTCTCCAGCCCTGCCAGCCTGCTGGTGTGTGTCAGTGGTGCCAGTGACCTGAGGTGCGCTGGAAGCCAAGGCCCTGTGGCCTGGAATCTGGGCCAGCACTCAGCACCTCTTGGCTGGTCTTCTCCTCTCTCCAGCAGGACCTAGGTCTTGGTTATTTTCCAAGTCCATTGCACATCAGATACACTGTCATTTACATACATTTAACGGATGTTTTTGAACATCAAGCGTGTGTCCTCTGCTTGATTATGGGGACAAATGGGCCAGCTGTCCCTTTTGTGCACAGTCGCCCTGCAAGCCAGGTGACTATCCTGGCCCTTGCTGCTGCCCCTCTCCAAGACAGAACCACCTCCGACTGCAGAGCACTCGCTATTTCCACGGAATTGCCCTCCTCCTCAAAAATCCCACAACGGTGATAGAGGCCATTAAGACCATACTTAGGACTAGTTTATTTTGAGACTCGTGGATGGGAACAATTACTCACACCCAACATGGGCACCTGGGACCTCCCAGCACGGCTATGACCACTCAGCACCGACCCGGGTGGGCTGGATGCGGGCAGATGCACACAGGCAAGGCTCAGGACGCTTGCAGAGCAGCCGCTCCTCCCCGAGAGCCTGCTCCGCGCGGAGGGGGCGCAGGCCGAGCCGTGCAGGGGACTCGGCCGCCTTCACCCCTTGCTGAGGCCTGGATTCCAGGAGACTCCTCTGGTCCCCATGGTCAGAGGAAAGGCCCAGCCCCCGAGCACCCGTCCCTGGCCTCTTGAGGGACAAAGGGGCTTTTAATTTAGCGTCCTTTCTCAGCACTTTCTCATCTTGGCTCCAGGCAGAATTCACAGCAGTAACACTTCTACACTCAATAACACTGCTTTCGTTAAAATGTGACTTGTTTGGGAAGTGCCTCTAGCCCAGCTGCTCGGTGTCTGTCCCAAATTCAGAGGCATCTCTCCCCACCACAGCGGCTTCCTGAATCCTGCTAAATGCAGAAAGCGTCTCCCTGGTCAAAGAAACGGCCAGTGCACAGGCTGAACAAAAGATAACATGCCTTCCCTCCTCAGGTGGGAGAAATCTGAGGGCAGGAAAGTCCGTGCCTCCTTCAAAGCCCTTGACTTAGTCCTCAAACATAGCCTGAAACACTAAAACATGGCTATTCCAGTTACCTCCCCAAGCCCGGAGTCGAGACCACAGGCCCACAGGACCCTGTGGTTGATCACGTGGTATAGAAAGGGCTGCCTCCCATCAGCACTCTCATTCCTAAGAAGCAGTCACTTCACAGGGATCTAAGAACATGACGCTAGCAGGACATGTGCTCCAAATAACCCCTCAGCCATGGTGTGCTGGCCGTCCGCTGTACGCCCACCCCCCTGGAGACAAGGTCCTTCTCTGAGTCTACGAGGTTTGAACGGGTGCTGCGTCTCCTCCCCTAGCCAGAAGCGTGGCCACGGCTGACTGGCCAGGGGTGGGCATGGCAGAGGGTGGGCCATCGGAGGCCTTCCCAAGAGTGTCTGCCGTGGGACACACAGCCCTGGAGGGTGACACTGGGAGGGCTACCACACGGACACTGTCGGAACCACGTTTCCCGCTGCACAGAAAGATCAGCTGGGCCAAAGAAGCTGACGGGCAGAGTTAAGACAGGAGGCAGCCTAAGTCCCGGGGCCCTTGAGCCAGGGGCCAGCTGTCCTCTGCTCACCCGTCCTTCCAACAAACTCCTGTTCTTCCACTTGCAAGGACTCCAATGCATGCTTCCTCTTTTCTCACCCTAGTCTCTCCAGGCTCCCAGACGTCTCCCTCCCCTCAGCCGCTGCTTCTCCGAGTAGCCAGCAGGTGATCCCACCTGCCATCCTTCGCCTTCCGGATGTGCCACGACCTGGCCGGCAGCTGAGCCTGTGTCAACAGCGACAGATCCTTCTGCAGTGGACTTCCTAGACGGGGCAGAGACTGGCCTACAGGTCTCCATGATCAAGGCAATTAGGTACAAAAAGAGAGAAAATGTGTGTTTTTGTCAGTGTAAGTGAAAATATATTACTGACAATAGCCAGAGTTTTCCCAAATTAGTCAGCACAGATAGGAAAGTCAGCTAAAACTAGGGTGTTGTCCATTCCCTAACAGTGATGGCCAAGTCACAGGGAGATGAGGAAGAGGAGAGGTGGAAATTCTGTCTCTTGGCCTCACGGTGCTGAGGACGCTGGAAGGACTCTGTGACGGGAAAGGGAGGCCTACAGCTTACACAGATCTAAATAGGGGAGACACACACACACAGGGATTACCAGCCATACAGCTGCTGACGCTAGACAAGCCTGCAATTCAAGGCCAACAGGGAGCCTCCTGGGGTCAGACGGCCTTGGTCTGGAAGGGCCACGCCAGCCCTTCCTGTGGGCTCACCATGCCACCACGTTACTGTGCATCAGCTCTCCTTTCTTCACCTGGATCATTCCTTCCCATTGAAGATCAGAGATCCAAGAACTAGAAGCACCTCAGGGACCAAGAGCCTCATTTACCAATGAGGAAACGGAGGCCCAAAGAAGGGAGTTGACTCGGCAGGACCCCACAGCTCCTTGGTGACATGCTGTACACAGGGACCAATGCGCAGCCATCGGCTGGTCTGAGCTGTGGCCACAGCCCTTAGCACTGTGCAGGGCAAGCCCCGTAGGGCTCTGTGTGCTGTCAACCTCAACTGATGGATGACTGGGGTAACGACCCGACCACTAAAGAATTCACCCAAACACCTAGCTCTATCCTACAGAACCTTCTAGATCCATTGCGAGGAACCCATTTAGCAAACTGTAAAATACAGCTCTGAGAAACACGGCTCTCGAAAACCACAGGCTGTATGCACCTCGCCTACTGGCAATCCGGTCACTCTGGCCCGCAGACCCACGCTGAGTCTCCAACATGGAGCAGCAAGCTCGCTTTCCAGCCCCAGACGGAACTCCAAGGAAGGGCTCTCAGACAGCAGCCCGCCATGATCCCAGCTCTGTCTTTCCAGGGGTGCGGGCTCTGACGCTGCCCTTGTTTCAACCCAATGAACGACGCTGCACAGCAGGCTCTCCTGGGGGCTTCAGCCGTGGAGTGTTTTACCAAACGATAAGAGCGCCATCAAGGTGATGGACTGGAAACACACTCAGTACTCACAAGAAAACAGGCAGAGGTAACCTTCGTTCTGTTCAAAGTCTCACCTGGTCTTCAGCTAAAGGTCTCTTTCATAGACACACCATCATGGCGAGGTCGTGCAGTGAGCTCTCACGTGGAGGTCGGCACGTCCTGGTTCCTCCACTAGGTGCTCTGCTGAACTCTGAGACACAGGGACGGCAGAAGGCGTGCGGCCTGGGCATTTCCTGGTCGAAGAAACATTCTTCGAGACTGACTTGAAATAGCAATCCTAACCTTGGCAGCCACTATCAGTGCTGAGCTGGACCCGTAGGAAACTTGGAAAAGCCTTTTCCCTTTAGCTGCTACATCCTCCAGCAGCCATTTCCAGGGACAAGGCATCTGTCTCAGGGTCACGATCTGGTTGTCCTGCTTCTTCGAGCCTCAGTTCTGGGACAGCAGATGCTCTCATGTTACGGCGGGAGAACGTGAGGCCCCACCGTGCTGGGGAAATGCACAGTGCATGTGGCACAGGGGAATGATGGGGTCCAGGGGACGGGCTGCAGAAGGCTGCCAGGAGGCCACCAGTGCAGCGTGCTCCGTGTAACACAAACACCACCTCACAACCCAGGAGCCATGAGAACGACTCAATACTGCGCACTGAAAAAAAGTGCTCTGTGTATTTCCACGCTGACAAACGTTTCTCTGTGTCAACACACGGGTGTACACACACAAAGAGACTTTCAGGGATTGCAACATTCACTCAAAAATGCAAGAATGAAAATGACCCTGCATGTGATGACATCGCTTTTTTTAATTGAAGTCAGAACAAAAGCTGGTCACACTCAGACATCAATAGGCCTCATCCAGATGGTTAAAACCACCCTTCTCTTTCCCAGTTAACCATCTCCTAATTTCAAGTGATTTCCACAAGTTCTTTAGAACCATCTGAAATTGTCCGTTGAGGAGATCCACCACACCACTACGAGACAAAGGCTCGAGCACGCACCGCCGGGCAGGATCTCACTGGATATCGTCGTCATCAAAGAGATCTTCAAAATCTACCCAAACGAACAAACCCACATATTAACGGGGTGCACAAAGTAAACAACTGAGGAAATAACTTCAAAATCAATTACACAGTCATTCAAAATAGAGAGAAAACAGTAAACAATCTAATTAAATAACGGACTGTTCCCATGACAGACTCTTAATTTATCCAACCAAAGCTCACAGATGGAGTCCGAGGGGACAGAGGAGTCTAGAATGCATCTTTAATCGTGTTTCTGATTAGATGACAATCTTAAGAAAACTCATGCAGGCCTGTCCTGGACCACGTGGGTGACCACCTCGCAGCCATGAGTGAGCACCATGTGATATGGCAGCACCAGTGCCTGCACCTCTGAGTGTACGGTGGCCAAGGCTCTGCTCCAGCTGACACGGAGGTGAGGGTGACGTGAAGGTGAGGCTGACGCGGAGGAGAGGCTGACGCAGAGGAGAGGCTGACGCGGAGGAGAGGCTGACATGGAAGTGAGGCTGACGTGGAGGTGAGCTGAGGCAGCTGAAGGGCACATGCTGTTGGGCACAAGCCACCATGCCCCTCATTTTGTTAGTGAAAGCACAGAGGGTGGGCAGGGGAAGGCAGCGGAAGGACGAGCCACGTGAACGACTCCCTTTAAGGGAGTCTGACCGACACAGTCCGAGCCCCTTCCTACAGGAAGAAAGGCCACAGCCTCACAGCACACTACTTACCACAAGGGGAGGTCAAAGTCACAGTCATTTTGTCCTTCTGTCTACTTGTTTGCTTATTCCCTACCCCTGGCAGGCGTTCCTTTCACAATGGGAGAAGAGCTAAACCCACGTACCGTGTGTAGCGTGCACTGAAAACGTGCACCGTGAATGACAACACAGAAAGAGCCTGGGCTGGAACACGAGGTAGCAGCAGCCCCGCCTGCATCTCCACACTTTGTCTTCATGGGGTCCCCATGCATCTCCGGCCATGGAGAGGGTCCAGCTCCCCAGCCACAAAGACGCACTCAGTCCCACCAACGCCCCTGCCTTCCCTCACTGCCTGGCCTGGCCTGTGGTCCTACAGCCCTGAGCACTTTCTTCCCAGTCCCTGTCCCCAGCTAACTCCTCACACGCTTCAGACTCTGCTCAGGTGTCATGTCCTGTGAAACTGCCCTCGGATATGCTGCTAGAAACACTGCTGCCAAGCCCTGACAGGGCTCTCGTCACAGAGCTGTCGCTGCCTGCCGCCTCGTCTAGCGCTCCACGACTGGTAAAGCACAGTGAGTGAGGAGGGCAAGCTTCATCCACGGTCACAACCGTGCTGCGCTGGGGCTCACAGGCCATCGAAGCCCCTGCTCGACGAGTAACAAGGGCTCAGAAGCCCTCGCAAAGCCCACGCCGTCTCACAGTAAACAGCTCCCTGAGCACCTGAGCCGTCACCACCCGACGGGGCAGCATGCACCTCGTGAACTCTGCTGGTAGGCAGGCCAACACGGGCGCAAGGCTGCTCTGGTCCTCCCTTCCCAGCGCAGACAGAGGGAGAAAGGGCCCTAAATCACTCATGCGGCCTGATGCTCACTCCGCAGGTCGGCCTGGGGCCCCCTCACAGACCCCTTCTCGGCAGAAGGCACGCGCTGTTTCTGGAAGCCAAGTGAACTTGAACTCTAGAACAGAGCTGCTGTCTCTAACCCAGGGCTGGCAGAGAACAAGTGGGGCTGAGGGAGATCCTCGAAACATGTGAGAGGACCGGGCTGGCGTCAGGGAGAACACAACCTGCAGGGGTGAGAAGCCTCCAGAGTGGCCTGTGTGAGCTGTGCTTTCCCAGCGACGGCCCTGGAGGGCAGGTACCTCTGCACAATTTGTCCCCACACCTGCCTGTCTAGAGAGTTCAGAGAAATGCAATTCAGTCCCACAGGTCTGACTCAAATGTGGCTTCCCTCAGTTCTGACACGCGTTGGTGGCAGCCAGGACGTTGCCTCAGGGGAGCAGCTGGGCTCTCTGTGAAGACGGTACCTAATTAGGTAGCCTGGCCTCTCCTTTTGGACAAAAACTAGCTGAAAAGAAGCCAGACAAAACCGTGGACTCAGGCCTCAGAGGGTCTTTGGTACATTAAAAACCAACATGGCAAGATAACATCCTCGCAGCCGTGACCCAGGGACAGAACTTCGCAAAGGCAGGGACCTTGGATGAAAGAAGGATGACAAAGGGAGAAAACACCACTTGACTCGCCTAAGAAAACCACTGTGTTTCTGCTTACCATCTGAACCCTTAGGACGGATTCCTATGATCTGTGGGAACAAGGCCTTGAAAAATCCAAGAGAGCAAGAGAAAGAGCCCCCAACATGAAGATGTCATTTAGGTAGCTTCTCACCACCTGTTTGGTAAAACTCCTCCCACGCTCTTGGTAACCAGCATTAGAGCTCTTCAGTACAAACGGGTCCTAGTTCAGAGAAAAGGGAAGGGGGAAGCTGGAGTGCGGCTGTTATTCTGCAAAGGAAGCGAGGGGGCAAGAATCCAGTGGGCACAAAGGGGAAGGAAAGAAAACCAGCCACTAGCAGAGAGTGGAGATGAGAAAGCCAGATGGGTTCCTCCGCCTGTGTCCAGTGTCACAAGCAATGGACAAGACCCCAATGCAGGTTCAGGCGTCCAAAAGCAGGCCTGGAGCTCAAATGCAACTACTGGAATATAAGACTGGGAGCAAGTTTATGCCATTCTTCTCTCCTAAAAATAGGGCTGACTGGCAGTGCTAACAGCCCGTGTTGTCACTTAAGATGGACTGTACTGCGTTCCGAGAATGGCACCGGACCTGGGCTTTACTCTGATCCTAATCGTTCACGTCACAAGCTGCGCCAGTGCATAACCTGCAGAAGAAACATTCCGATTAAAACTGGCATTCCCCTGCCCGGCATCCTTACCATTAAAGAAGTCGGCATGAACTGCCTTTTCATTGGCGGCCAAGTCCATCAGGAGCCCGGTGCTGCCTCCCGCCTGGGGAAGGGAAACATAAGGCTGTGTTAGCAGGGTTTTCTGAGAACAGTTGGTGAGTGCCTTACAGGGCTCATGCCACTCCAAGGCGGAGGAAGGTGGGGGACAGAAGAGTGCCCAGGGCTGAGTTAAAATTTAGTTCCAGAGGAAGCAAGTTGGGGGGAGGGGCAGCATTCCAAGGAATTATTTTGAAGGTCTCCTCGGGTCTTACATTCCTAGACTCCTCCTCGCCTCTTACATAGAATCCTGCCATTGCCCTACACACTACCACTTCTCCGTAAACGGTTCCAATTCCCTACTAGGCGTTGCCACAGAGGCCGGAAACACGTGCGGAACTGAGCCTGATGACTTCTCTGCTCTGGATGGCTGCCTGCTGCTTCTGAGAATTACACCATGTCCCTTAGGAAACTGACCTGCTGACCTGGGTTCTGGAGGGGCTGCCATCACAGGACCTCCTACGGCCACAACTCTATGCCGGCAGTTAACCGTGGCACAACGAAAGCTGGGCAAGCTGATGAGCTTGGGATTTTGAATCTTGTTTAGAGTCACACCGTGACGTTCGGAGCAGAGTCCTCTGATGGCAGCACCCTCGCCCGCTAGCCCACAGGTCCCTGCTGCTGCCCTGACTCCAACATTCCCAAGGCCATCTGCTCCACCTTGCGTAGGTTCTCAAGGGGCTGAGCATCTCCCGTGTTCCCTTTTGCGGCTGATCTGAAGAACCCAAGAGACAAGCCCAGAACCCTCAGCCCCCTCCCTTCTCTTCTGAGCCACCCCTCCCTTCCCAACACCAGTGTAAGCCAAGCGGACTCTACCATGTACACACTGTGTGAATTTGTTGCTACTTCCAGCTTCAGGCATCACCTTCGTTCAGACCCTCTTCAAGGCTCCGTCTTCCTGTTTGCATCATTCCATGCCCTCACCCCCCAAACTCACCAGGGTGCCCCTGCTACAAAGCAAATCGGAGCCTCTCGCTCCCCAATGTAAAGCCCTCCAGTGGTTCCAAGCTGCCTACGGCATGCCTTTAGAACGGGACTGAGAAGCCAGGGTCAGTGGAAGTGCTTCAGGAGTCGGGTGGAGGGAGCCCACCCATCCCAGCACAGCTACAGGCCGCTTCACAATCTGCCCGTGCCACCTTCTCCAGCTTCACTGCTTCCCCTCTCTCCAGCGCCTTAAGACCCGCCACGTTAAACTACACGACAGCCCCTTCCCTTAGGCCCCTGCAGGACTCCACTCCTGCCGGGTCGTCTTCCTCCACCCCCGTGTACTCGGCAAACCCCAGCATATCCTTCAGCATCTGGGTGCTGTCAGCTCCTCCTGTAAGCCTGTGCTGGGCCACCCCAAAGGCCCGCGTGTGCCTCCATCAAGCCACCTCCAACCTTCTACCACGCCCAGGATCTGCAATCAGCCTCTGTCATACCGTGCCCTCCGGGGACACAGGGACTGGGACTGTCCCCTTCAAGCTTTGAGAAAGAGAAAATGAGACCCTGACCTCCGGGAGCGTCATGGTGTATAACAGCAAAGGAAAACCGGGTCACCGCGCAACCACAGAAACGCCAAGCACCCCGCTCCCAGCTCCCAGGTCGGGGGCCGCCTTGCTCGTCTTCCCCCGTCCCAGACAGGAGTCACTCTAGGACGCCCACCCAGGGATGCCCCCACCTCCTGACAGCACGCAACCAGAGCAAACTCCCGCCCACGTCACCCGCCGCGGCTCGAGCCCCGTCCTGGGTCATTCCCACGCCAGCGGTCCCGGGAGCGCCGTCCCCCGGAGCGTCTAAGGCCGGACTCGCCGGGAGTGCAAGGCGGGAGCGGGGCCTGCGCAGGCCGCCGCCTTCTCTCGCCCCAGGCCCGGCGCGCCCGACAGCTGGCCCCGGCCTCCACTCCCGCGCGGCCCGCAGGGGCCTCCCCACCTCGTCCAGGTCCACGTAGGGCCCGGCGCCCTCGGGGAACATCTCGTCCACCGCCGGCTTCATCTCCAGCCCCGCGCCGCTGCAGGCGTCCCGGCCCACTTCCGGCACGCCAGCCACCCCTTCCGGTGCGCGCCCCGCTGCGACAGGTCTAGACGCCGGAGGGCCGCCGACTCTGTGGTTTCCCCTGCCTCCGTCCGGCAGTTCTAGACGCCGGAGGACCGCCGACTCTATGGTTCCCTTCTCTCATTGGTCTGGACCCGAAGAACCGGCCCTGGTCCGGTTAGGGTGGACCGGCTCTCTTGTGTGCCTGTCAGCGCGTAAGGGAAATTGGGCAGTGACTTCTTGGTGTCCCGCGGCCACAGACCTGGCACAGAGAAGTGCCGGAGAAATGCCTATTAAGGAATGTGAATGGTCAACAGAGTTAAAAGAAAACCCATGGAATGGGAGAAAATATTTGCAAATTATATGTGTGTAAGGGGCTAATATCTAGACTATATAGAGAACTCAGGAAACTCAGCAACAAAAAACAACTTGATTCAAAACTGGGCAAAGGGCTTGAATAGACATTTCTCCAAAGAAGATATACAAATGCACGTGAAAAGATGCTCATACCCATTAGAATGGCTGCTATAAAACCCCCAGAAAATAACAAGTGTTGGTGAGGGTGTGGGGAAATTGGAATTCTTGTGCATTGATGGTGGGAATGTAAAATGGTGCAGCCGCTGTGAAAAACACTATAGTGGTTCCTCAAAAATTAAGTAGAATTACCATATGATCCAGCAATCCCACTTCTGGGCCTACATGCAAAAGAAAGGAAAGCAGAGTTTCCAAGAGATCATTTGCACACCCATGTACATAGCCACATTATTACCAATAGCTGAAACAAGGAAGCAACTGGGGTATTCATCAACATTTGAATGAATGAGCAAAATGTGATATATGCATACAATGAAATACTATTCAGTCTTAAAAAGGAAGGAAAAGGTACAACATAGACTAACCTGGAGGATATTATGCTAAGTGAAATAAGCCAGTCCCCAAAGGACAAATACTGTATGATTCCACCTGTATGATGTATCTAGAGTAGTCAAATCAATAAAGGCAGAAAGTATAATGATGGGTGCCAAGGGCTAGATGGAGGGGAGAATGAGGAGTTAGTGTTTAATGGAGACAGTTTCAGTTGGGGAAGATGAAAGAGTGGAGATGGATGGCGGTGATGGCTCCACAGCAATGTGAGTGCACTTAATGCCACTTTAAAATCGTTAAGATGGTAAATTTTATGTTGTATGTATTTTATCACAATTTTTTAAAAAGGATGTGAATGGAAGAGAAGGGAGGGCAGGAGGGAGAGGAGAAGGTAGGGGAAGGGAAGGTGAGGAGGGAGACGGGGAGACGCTTGAGCCTTGAGCTCGACTTTGAGAAGCAGGTAGGCTCTGGGCTGCTGGAGAAGACGGGGAGACGGGGAGGGAGAGGGTGGCTCCAGGGAGAGAGAAATTGAGCCGAGACTGGGGGACTGTGGCCTGGGCCAGGCCTGAGTGGACAGTGCAGGGCCCAGGGAGAAGTGAGAAGTGACTGGACGTGTGGGTGAGCCTCAGATGTCACGGCGACACGGATCACCCCCAAGCACCCCAGTGAAAGTCGGACCAACGAAACCGTGACTCGGTGGCCACCAAGAGGCTCCTCTTCTCAGTGGTTTCGAAACAGGTGGGCCCCCATTTCCATGGAGGGGTGATATCTGCCAGGAGAGAGGGGTCCAGGGCCCACCCCAGGTGACACTGACGTTCATGGGGAGGAGGAGCAGGGATGTGTGTCGTCACAGAGGTGGAAGGACAGTGTCGGTTAAGAGGAGCCCTGAGAGCACTCAGTGGATTTGGCTCGTCTGTGGGTGACCACATCCAGCCCACATCCTTTTGAGAGTGAACCGGACTCTACTCCTGACTGCCCCAGGACACAGGCATTGACTGTCAACTGCCGCGTACAGAGGGTGTCTGGTTCCCCAGCATCAGCGACTCCAGCAGGGATGAGAAGACAGTGCCCTTGCTCCTGGCGAGGAGGTCAGAAGTGGAGTATTGAGAGGTGAAGGGGACTGAGGTCGTAGGGCAGGAAGTGAGGGGGTCCCCCACAAGGTCTGCCTGCAAGGGGAAACCAAGAGGGGGTTCATAGAAGAGAACGGAGCCTGTTGTGTGCTGGGGTGCACAGGGAGGGGCACAGCCAAGTCTGAGTCTTAAATATGGGACTGAGGGGCCCAGGGGGCTGCGAGGTAGGCAGGTAGGGGTCTGCTGAGGGTGGCTTGGGGTGGGGGTTTCTTCCTCTGAGAAAAGAGGGAGGACAGCTGGGCCTTTGAAGACACATAAATGCACCCTTGCGTCCGGGGCAGTTGTGGGGTGCTGCTGACACTCGAGAGGGGACACAGTCCCAGTCAGGACCCCATGGGGGCTTCCCAGAAAGGCACCCTAGATTTCAGTCCTTCTGAGCAGCCCACAGGGAGGAAGCTGGGGCATCGTTCTTCAATGCTTGCCCAACTAGGAGCCTGGAAATCTGAGTGTGGTGTAAATGTTCACACACACACAAATAGACATGGAAGTGGAAATCCTGCCGTAAAGGTGGGTATCCTGGTGTGATGGAAATCCCACTGTAAATGGTGGGTTTCATCTGCTGTGTTTGGTCGAGGCCCAGTTGTCCCCAACGGGAACGTAAGACCAATCCTCAGCGTAGCTACTGTATGAATCAGGACTTCTTTTTCTTTTATTGCAGTTAATTTACAGAAACCAAATTTGAACTAGCTCAAGGAGGGAAAGAAAGAGACTAAGAATTTATTGGCTTTGGGCCAACCAGCAGATTCTTATTGAGAATTTAACCTGGGGCCTGGGGAGAGAACTCTGTGGCTGGGGACAGAAGGTGGCGGTAAGAGGACAGGAAGCCTCGCTGGAGGGCTGGAGCAAGTGGGGCTGCCTTGGGCTCTGCGGCCACTGCCCCTTTTCCAGGTCCCTCGCAGCCCGGCTGGTTCCAAGACACTCCCCTCCTTGGTCACTTTGGGAACTCCTAGCAGCCTGCCCTACTTGAGATGACTTGAGTGAGTTCCCCTCTGAGCAGCAGAAATCCCCTCGCTCACCCTGAAGGACAACCTGCCAGACCTTTCGGACTACACGCAGGACAAATCCACTTCCCACCACGTGTTTCCACCCAAGGATAACGTGTGACACACGTTTCGCAAAACCCTACGGGCTCCTCACTACGTGTAATAGTTTCTATAGTTAGATGCTAGTGTAAACACGAGTATCTATAGTTAAATAGTATTTTCTGCTCTCTTATTTTAGAAGGGAAGCTGGCTGCAGCCCATCAGCAGTTTCTTCCCCTTCTGATGGGGTGTGGCCTGCTGGGTCTTCAGGGCGCACACCCTGCCTGTGGGCTCACCCTGTACAGAGAGGCCGCCTCGGTGCGAGAGGATGGTCCCTGAGCAACCATCCATGCTGCCTGTCTGTCCATCCTCTCCGTCAAGAGCGTCCAGGTCAGGCAGCCCTGTCTCTTCCCACAGTCCCTGAGCTGGCAGCAGTGTGCCCAGGCCCCTGGCCTTCCTCACAGATGGGACTCCTGCTGTCCTGGTGTGAACCGCACTCAGGCATGTGCCAGGTGTGAGGGGTGGCCATCCAGGCAGGGCCTGCAGCCCGGGGCAGGGTGGGGGGGGGGGGGGGCCTGGGTGTCTGGCTGCTACCCAGCTTAGTGGCCAAGGGTGGGGACTCTGGGGCGTGGCTGCCTGGACAGGATCTGGGTCCCATCATCAAGTCAGGTGGCCACCTGGTGGCTGTTTGCCTCAGTTTCACCATCCACACTCTGGGGGACCTGCAGCACCCCTCATAGGGTCACTGTGAGGGTTAATGAGAGGGTGACATATGTGTCACCTTTTTGAAGCAAGGAGTCCTGAGCCAGAGCGGTTGTTGATGCTGTGTGGACAGAAATTGTGCGTGTGCTTATTAAAGAAGTGTTCACGAATAGTCAAAGGTTTGATTTGTCAAATAAGAAGTAAATGGGTCTTGAGTGGAGCTGTTTCTTGAAAAAAGAACCACAAGCGTTATGTTGTGCATCTTAAGTCACAAGTTTATTGAGGAGGAGGCCAGACCCAAGTGCCCCTGGGTGTCCTGCCTGCCCCGGGGCACCAGGCTCCATCCTCACTCCTCCTGGTAGGGGACGTGGAAGCCCAGGGTGGTCCCCAGGGGGAAGTGAGCAAAGAAGGTGCGGGCCATGTCCTCCAGCTGTGGGTAGGCCCCCAGGGCCTGGAATTCCTGCACGTAGTTCCAGAAGTCAGAGGTGGAGAAAGGCCAGTAGGGCATGGCCGGGGGCTCCGCATAGGGGTCTGAAAGACACACGGCAGCCTGCCTCAGGGGCTGTCCCCACGTGTCCTGCCAGGCAGCCACCCCTCTACAGATGCCTCGGGCAGATAGAGGTGCCCAGCAGAACCATCCCAGTGAAGGGACCCTCCCGGCTGGGAGCAGCACCTGGGCCATCCCAGGTCCTCCGTGGAAGTACCCAGAGCCTGGTCATCCTAGGAACAGTGGGGGACTCCTGTTCTGCGGGACAGAGGAGGAAGAGGACAGGGAGGGAGATGTGGGGTGTCCTGGGGGGACTTCAGCGGAGACCACAGCCCCCAGCCCGAGAGTCTGGAGATTTCTGCACCCAGGTAGGAGTCAGGGGTGGGAGGGCTGCAGGAGTGAGGTCATTCTATGGGTGGGAATGTCGGGGTCCTCAGGAGCTTAGAGGGTCTTGGCCGGTGTGCCCCTAGGTGGCTTGAGGACAGGGCCTGAGGAAGAGGCTCCAGTCCCTCTGCCTGTTCTCGGCCTCGAGCTGACCCAGGGCTCCCCTTCATCTGCTGGGATAAGAGGCCAGCTCCCACCCAGCAACCTCCTCTCCCCGGACCCCTAACCTGGAGACATGGGAGAAAAGAAATGGGAGGAAATACAGTACCTCTCTCCTCCTGCACAGGCTTGGCCCCTGCAACGGAAGAGGAGAGCAATCACCCAGGAGGGCTCCCCAGGGCAGGACCCCGCAGCACACCAGCTGCCAAAGCTGTGTCAGGGATGGGGGGCAATGGGAGAGCAGAGGCGAGAGCACAGGGGGACAGAGCAGAGCAGCCCCTCACCCGCCAGAGGCCCCAGCAGGAGGCAGAGGGCCACTACGGGCACCAGGCAGGGCTTCATCTTCCCCAGGCACGTCCTGGACCGACGATGATGCTCCAGTGCCCCTGCAGCAGGAGGAACTCAGAAGGGTGAGACCACCCCCCGCCCAGGGCCCCCGCTCTTCCCCCACCCCCCAATGCGCAACGCCTGGGAAGAAAGAGATGGTATGAAGACAAGTTCTCAGTGTTTTCACAGCAATTTCAGTTTCAGTGTCTTCACATCATTACACGGAGATTGACCGCATGGTTCAGATGGCCTGATTTAATTTTAACCATTGAAGAAGCCGTCCCACCCACCCCCTGTCTGCCCCAGGGCGCAGTCTCCCTCCCCAGCTTACCTTGCTGTCCGCTCAGCCCCAGCCTTGCTGCCGCTGGGCATCTGCTGCCAGGGCACAGGCTCCTCCTTATAAAGGCCCGGGACGGGATGAGGAGGGAGACGGCACCTACTGAACCGTCAAACTGAATATTTCATCCGCGACCACAGGACTGAGGGCTCCTGTGACCTTGCTGGCAGCTGGATCACACGAGTCCACTTCGGAGAATCTGATCCAAAGTTCAAACTCAGAGAGAAACCTCTATTCACAGGCCACTTGTAAGATTTTTAGGACTGAATTCAACATTGGTACTGGAAATAAACCCAATTTCCTCGCCACAGGAGAGAAAGATGTTCCAAGTCTGATACTGGGGCTGAGATCGCCCTCTACGGGAGCAGGTGATCACAGAGCTGCCCTCGGGGACAGGCAGGACCAGACCCTCTGGGAGCCACTAGCGGCCCTGGAGCAGTGGCCCCTGCGGACAGGACACGCTTGAGCAGAGTCGTGGGCAGGAAGTGTGCATGTCCAGCCTGACTTCTCGTCTCCAGACGAGCACCTTCCTGCTTACGCGTAGTGATGAAGTCTGTGGTGGGGAAGGCAGCTATTCCAGCCCCAGGACACGATCAGTGACTCCAAGGATCTCTGGGTCAGCTGCTCTGATGACACCTGGGACACCCAGCTTTGTGTTGTGCTTGTTCAGTGGGATCCCAGAGCAGTGGTTCTCACGCTATATACAGATCGCCCAGGGGTCCTGTTAAAATGCACGTTCTGGTTCAGCAGGCTCGGGGGGGGGGGGGGAGAGCCTGGGACTCTGCATTCCTGACAAGCTCCCAGGAGAGGCCCATGCTGCTGGCCCCCAGAGCACATGTAGGGTTGTGAGGCCTGGGCAGGTTCTCTACCTGGGCGGCGTCAGAACCACCTGGAGGACCTCGTGTCAGAACCACCTGGAGGACCTGGTGTCGGAACCACCTGGAGCACCTGGTGTCGGAACCACCAGGAGGACCTGGTGTCAGAACCACCTGGAGCACCTGGTGTCAGAACTACCGGGAGGACCTGGTGTCGGAACCACCTGCAGGACACAGTGTCAGAACCACCTGGAGCACCTGGTGTCAGAACCACCTGCAGGACCTGGTGTCGGAACCACCTGGAGGACGTGGTGTCAGAACCACCGGGAGGACCTGGTGTCAGAACCATCTGCAGGACCTGGTGTCGGAACCACCTGGAGCACCTGGTGTCAGAACCACCTGCAGGACCTGGTGTCAGAACCACCCGGAGCACCTGGTGTCAGAACCACCGGGAGGACCTGGTGTCGGAACCACCTGCAAGACACAGTGTCAGAACCACCTGGAGCACCTGGTGTCAGAACCACCGGGAGGACCTGGTGTCGGAACCACCTGCAGGACACGGTGTCAGAACCACCTGGAGCACCTGGTGTCAGAACCACCCGGAGCACCTGGTGTCAGAACCACCGGGAGGACGTGGTGTCGGAACCACCTGGAGCACCTGGTGCCAGAACCACCTGGAGCACCTGGTGTCAGAACCACCTGCGGGACCTGGTGTCAGAACCACCTGGAGCATCTGGTGTCAGAACCACCTGGAGCACCTGGTGTCAGAACCACTGGGAGGACCTGGTGTCAGAACCACCTGGAGCACCTGGTGTCAGAACCACCTGCAGGACGTGTTAGAACGCAGATCCCTGGGCCCCACCTCTCAGAGCTCTGATTCAAGAGCTCTGGGATGGGCCTGGGACTCTGCATTTCTCTCACGTTACCAGTGGTGCTGAGCAGGACCCGGCCCGGCTTTGAGAGCCATTGTCTAAAGCAGAGGTTTTAACCCTGGCTGCCCTTGGGGACCACCTGCAGAGCTTTTACATCGTTGGGATTTCAGCCCCCAGCCCCCCCAACACAGGATTCTAACATGATGGGTCTGGGGTGGGGCTGAGGGATCAAGTTCAGGGAACACCCCTCCCTCTGCCCCTGGTCCCCCAACCCGCCCCCAAGCCTGGTTGACTACCCCTTCGGGGGGAGTGGAAGGGTCAGCTCCCTGCTTCCCAACCACTCCCCTGACCCTGCACAGGGCCTTCCTGCTGACATGTTGGAGGCCTTTGAATGCCCCGCCTGCCTGGGGCCAAATGGACAAAGGCCACCCTGTCTGCCTCCCATGCTAACTGGGCGGGGAGAAGGGGCAGGACGTGGGGCTCCTCCAGCAGTGCAGGAAGGGAGTGAGCCGGGGCGGCCGGCCTAGGGAGCCTTCCCTCTGAAGGTTGGTGCCTCCCCTCAGCTGCTTCACCTGGACCAGGTGAGGCCTGGGCGTGTCTTCCCAGACCGGCCCTCCAGGGCTCTGATTAGGAGGTCTCGGGGCGCCCCCTGCTGCCCATCTTGGGAACACCAAGTGTGGCCCGTCTCGGATCTCCTGGAAGGGCGGGCAGGGCACCTTGGGCCACAGTCCTTTCAGCTGTCCCAGCACAACCAGACCCTTGTTCCTTATTGAGCTGTAAAGCCGCAGGTCCTCCTGCACACAGCCTTCCCCGCATCGTGCCTCCTGGACGTTCCTCCTTCCTTAACCCCTCCCGTCGCCACCATCAGCTCGGCCCCACCCATGACTTTGACCTGCTTCCGGAAGCATCCAGCCTGCTCACACAGTCCTGCCTGGGAACCTCAGCCCTGGCTGCTGGCTGGCTCCCTGGGTCCCCTCTGCCAGCCCGCCTTTGGGCCCCTGGAATGTGCCAGCTGCTTAAGCGCTGGGGGCCTCACTCGCTGCCCCTCCCCAAGCCCAGGAACTTCGCTTCCCCTGGAGCCCTTGCCGTCTCCCAGCCCACGGTCACTGTGTCCCATGTCCTCAGTCCCAGCAGGTGACACTGCCGTCCTGGTTGGTTATGCGTTCTGGCCACTTCCTTTCCGAGCCCGTGGCTCCTTGAGAGCCTCTGAGTGTCCCAGGCCTGGAACAGCTCCTGGTGCCGGGTGGGTGGGGCTGGGTGAGAGCACGGACGGACTGGACACGCGGGTCAGGTCAGTGCTGGGCCAGGTTCATCTAGTTGATGTGAGAGCCGAGTCCTGCAGGCCGCTCACCTGGCTGTCCCTGGGCGTCTGCACCAGCGCCTGGCTGTGCTGTCCTCCACTCCGTCCACAAAACCTGCTGACCACCCAGGTCCCCCCGAGAAGCACCTGCCCCTCTGCTCCCACAAGGTGATGGGATGCCCCTCACCTACTTTGTTCCCAAACCCACCATTTCCAACACTACTCGTCACTTAAGAAAAGGATTTAGGGGCCGGCCCCGTGGCCAAGTGGTTAAGTTTGTGTGCTCTGCTGCGGCAGCCCGGGGTTTCCCTGGTTCGGCTCCTGGGCAGGGAAATGGCACCACTCGTCAGGCCACACTGAGGCGGCGTCCCACGTGCCACAACCAGAAGGACCCACAACTAAAAATATACACCTATGTACCGGGGGGATTTGGGGAGAAAAAGCAGAAAGAAAAATATATATATTGGCAACAGTTGTTGGCTCAGGTGCCCATCTTAAAAAAAAAAAAAAAAAAAGACAAGGATTTAATGAAACATCACGGAATCTAGTGAATGTGAACAGTTTCGTGCTTGAAAACTAAGTTGCCTTGGAAAGGTCACCCCGGCGCGAACGTGCTGGGACTTACTGTCAAGTTAGACGTGGGTTTGACAGCTCGGAAAGACTGGAACCAAAGTCCTGAGAATCTGGACAGACCTGACTTCAGATGCCTGCGTTCTGAGGAAACCCAAACCCAAAATCAAAGACAGCACATCCAGGAGTGGGCTCCAGGGGGCGCCATCCTCACTGGAATCGCGAGGCTGGGCCCCATAAGGCGGATTATGCCAGGAGAACAGATAGTGAAAGACTGGCCAGCGAAGGTACAGAATAGATATGAAAGCTAAGATGTCCAAGTCCTATATGATTCTTCCTAAAAATCCTCCTTCCCTTTAGCCGATTTGTGAGAATTTCTGACGGGCCCCCAGTTTGCTCTGTGAGAAAGCTCCTGCTGAGCAGAGGAGACCCTGGCCTGGGGTGGAATGAGATCAGGCAGCGGGGTCCCGGCAGCACCCTGGGGTGGACAGATAAGTAGAGCATGCCCCAATATGGAAAAAATATGCCTTGATTGTTGAAATCCTAGTCTAACTGGGTGACCTGCATTTTTATTTGCTGAATCTGGCAATCTTAGGCAGCACAGCATGGGGCACCCCAGTCCTGGGCTCCATGCATGGGCTCTGGCCAGGACCCAAGGCTTTGGGCACAGACTGGCAGTGAGAAGGGGCTCCAGCCCTGCATCTTCCATCTTCCTGGAGGAAGATGCTTCCTCCTGGAGCTGGAGGGTCACGGTCATTACACGGGACAGGCAGGTGCCCTGCAGCCCTGAGCTCCCCCAGTCAGCAAGCTTCCTGGCCCAGCACACCCCAGGTTTCCATAGCCATCTAGAGCTGGTCCAGCCGGGCTCGTCACAGAGAGAACCTAATGGGGCCGAGAGGTGGGGTGGGCCACTGATGGCAGAGCCCCTCTTCTCTCAGGCTTGGGGCCTGGGGACCTTGGGGCCAGGGATGGGGACACGGGGTGCGGGGCAGTGCCCTCAAAGACCCATGACTTGGGAGAGAGAAGCATTGGTTTTGGGTGAGAGCTGTGACGAGTGCCTGGAGCTCACGACACGCCCACCGTGCCCCCAGCCCAGGGCCTCAGCACCGGGGTGGTGCAGGAATCATGTCCAAGGCCGTAGGTGCGGCCCTGGCTGAA